TTCCAACCCAGTCTCCACCCAGAACAAAAAGTTCTGGTCATGTCCCTCCCTCGCCTGAAACACTTGACTGGCTCCCTATGATGCTCAAGATAAAGGGCAAATGCCTAGTGAGATACACAGAGCAACTCAGCGGCAGCTTCCAGAGCTCCCTCCCTGCAGGACAGGGCCCCACTAAACGCTCATCCCCCCAGCCTTTGTTCATGCCTGGAAGCCTTCTGCCCCGCTCCCCGAACTACCTCTTGGCTGCTTGGCTCAGACACTCCCCTGGGACAGCCCTCGGAGCCCCCACACCTGGGTTAGGCACTCTCCCATCTTTGCATCGCTCACCTGTCTGCCTCCCCCACCAGAAAGAGGGTAAGCATGTTTGATTCGCCTAGCCCAGTGCCCAGCTCCCAGGAGGTGCTCCACAAAGATGCGTCAGGAGGAGGGCAAGGACAGGCCGGTGAAAACACTTAACTCACCCGCTGGCTTTGGAGGCCTCCTCTGCAAAATGGGAATGTTGCAGGATGGGCAGCTAGCGGCCTGGGTGTGTGGCCCCGCACCCCGCTTTTGTAGCTGGTGAGAGCCTGCTGGCTTGGTCTGCCACCTCTCAGGGCCTCTCCCCCCGGGGTGTGAGAGTAACTCCGCACGCCAGTCAGTGCGGGGACTCAGTGAGCTCCTCCTCCAGAGGGCTCAGTTCAGGGCCTGGCACATAAAGATGAATGCCTTGCCCGGGCCTCGGAGAAGAAAACTGGGAGGTGAGCGTGAGGCCAGGGGCCGCCGGACCCGGCCGGGCCGCTGCAGCTTCTGTTGCAGGGCCGAGTTCTTCCAGCACCACACTCCTGATGGGCTCCAGGGCCCCCTCCGCGCCGACCCGGCACAGGCCCGGCCCCAGCAGCCCAGTGCCCCGAGGAATGTGAGTGCCACCAAGTCAGGAAATGAGGGTTCGGCCCCGCTGTGGCATCTCAGACAGACCACGGAGCTCTCGGCTCCCAGCTCCCCCGCCGGACAAGGGCCGGCCACAGAGCGCCTGCCTCCCTCATTCTGGGGACCCAGCAACCTCAGCCTGCTCTCTCGGTGGCTGTGAATGACCACCCCCCGGAGTGGGCAGTCTTGGCGGGACTGGACCCCCATCCCCCACTTCCCCTGGTCAAGGTTTCACGGAGAAGCATGAGGCCATTGGACGAGACTGTCCCCAGACCCCCATCATGTATAATCCAAATCGACCCCATTGTCTCCCATTCCCCGAGCAGCGTGTTTGCTGCCGCCACCCGGTCACCCCCACCTCATGTCACCAGTCCCACCCTCTCCCGTGTGCCTACAGGGCCGGCTCCCCTAACTGCCCCATGTGTCTTGTCCCCTCTCGTCCCCAGGAGCAGTCCTGGCCACCAGCACAAACCATTCTCCCAGGTCCACCCTTCTCTCCAACGAGACAACTTTCCCGACTGCCCTTCGCCTACCTAGCACCTCACACGCTATCCCCACGCATGGTCATCTTCCTTGTCTGCCCGGCCCTCGAGTGGCTGCCACTTGGGATTCGTGCCCCATCACTCCCCCAAAGCCACTCTTACAGAAGACCTGTGCTGCCTCCACGTGCCCAAAGCCAGTGGCCACTTTCTGTCTCATCTCACGTGGACTCTCAGTAGCCGGCAGCCCTGCTGACCATGAGCTCCTTTCCAGAACGGTCCCCCATATCCGCTTCCCAGACACCCCATTCTCCCTTCTCCTTCCAGCTACCCTCCTCAGCTCCTCTCCCGGCTCCCCGCCATCCACATGACCAGACCTCTCCGCCACACCTTCCCTCTGGGTGCTCCCACCTGCCCCCACTATGTCCTAATGGCACCCCAGCCCAAATCTCAGCCCAGGGGCCCCCCACTTGGACTTCTAAGCACTCTCTTCACATGAACCTGTCCTCCACTGGATTCTTGGTTTCTCAAAACCCCATGCTTCCCACCCTCTCTTAACCATCTTACTTCATGACACCACCACCACCCACCCACATACTCAAAAGAAGATTCTAGAACACACTCCATTCCTCTTATTCCTTCACCTGCTGTGAACCACCCACCGGTAATTCCAGCCAATCTCTCTCTGATCACCTGAATCCAGCCACTGCCACCATCCAAATCCGAACCCCCCTCAGCCTTCCTCTGGGCCCAGTCCACCCCAGCCCATACGTCCAGTTCTCCTCCCTGCAGCCAGAGCACCCTGCCCAAATCAGAGCCTACAAGGCTCTGGTGGGTGGTGCTGGGTCAGTGAGATGGCACGCGGGCACCACGGGCTGCCTGTGGGCCAGGCGTCATCTTGCTGAGCTTTGTGACTGTCCCTCAGCCCATGGCACCTACTCAAGTGCTTCCACGTAATAGGCACTCAGTAAATTATTTTTGAATAAGTTACCTGGGAAAAGGTAAATTTCCTAATGGAGTTATTAACAGCTGGAATCTTGGATTTGTTATGTCCTTAATAAAGGTATTTATGTGAAATGAAGCCAACGGCTTCCTGTGGCATCTAGATTAACCATCCTACCTGCTTGCCTTCTTTTTTTTTTTTTTTAAGATTTTATTTATTTATTTGATAGAGACAGAGAGAGAGGGGAGAGGGAACACAAGTAGAGGGAGTAGGAGAGGGAGAAGCAGGCTTCCCGCAGAGCAGGGAGCCCAATGTGGGGCTCGATCCTAGGACCCTGGGATCACGACCTGAGCTGAAAGCAGACGCTTAACGACTGAGCCACCCAGGCGCCCCCCTGCTTGCCTTCTTAACACTGCCTTCGTCCCCTTGCCCGCTGCAGGCTCTGGGCTTTCTGCTGCTTAAACAGGCCAAGATCATTCTGGCCGCAGGGCCTTTGCATTTGCCGTACCCTTGCCTGGAATACTTTTCCCTCAGTTCTCTGTCATTCAGTCTCAGCTTAAATGTATCTCTTCAGAGAGGCCCCCCTGACCACCTCCAGCTAACAAATTCTGCACCACCTTCCCGCACGCATACCCCCTCCACCACCAACCCAAGCCCCCAGTTATTACCATCACATCACATCAGCTTGCTCCCTTCGCAGGCCTAATCCCATGACAAGCAGTTCATTTCATTCATTCGTTTGATCGGTTTGGGACTTGTCTCCTTTCCATCACGAAAGCTTCACAAGGGCAAGGCTACTGCCTGGTCCCCATTGGAACGACAGCCAGTGCTGCTAAGCTCTTTACGGGGCCAGGCGCTGTCCCAAGCAGCCTGCCTGCCCTCTCGTTACGTCCTCCCACCCTGGGACACAGCTGCCTGGGTCACCCCCATCTTACAGATGAGGAAGTCGGAGCAAAGAGGGGCCAAGTGAGTTGCCCAAGGTCTGGCGCAGAAAGAGGCTCAGCAGGGGCCGCGTCCCCATCTATGCCCGACACCCAACACAGGCCTGACCTTTTAAAACCCAGGGCTCCCCGAGCGAGCAAAGCACTCACGGGAGAAATGAACCATGCACACCACAATGTTGAGAGAGATTGTCTTTGGGTAGCAGAAGAAAGGGCGAGCTTATTTTCTTCTCTGTTTTCCAAGTTTTCCGCACTGGTCATGCAATACATGCATAATTTCAAGTAAAATAAACCTGTACTTTAAAAGACATTCAAAGGTTCTGGGTAATGTCTGGGTTCAGGAATATTTGTCTTCCATTTCCAGAGGCTGTTATTCCTCTATTTAATTTAAACCATTGTTTTTCTAGGGAAATTGAATAAAAAGCCCGCATTTTTAAAGCTCCTTCCAAGTCTGCCCACTTCAAACAATGAAGAGAGGGAAGTATTGGGAGCTGATCCCCGCCTTGTGTGCTAATGGCTGGAGTTCAGGGGCGCATACCAATCAGGCAGCCACTGGAAGGGGGAGTTCTGCGGGGAGGCCAGGCTCCCAAGGAGGAGGAGGAGGGGGCCAGAGCCAAAAAGGCCGCCTCGCCTAGGGTCCTACACATCACCCCAGGGACGGACCACCCCAACCACCTGCCCTGCCCCGGACTGGGGGGTGTATCTTCAAAGAAGTGGGACGTGGGGCTGGGTCCACCCATTGGATAGAAAGGTCTGTGGGAAGATAAATCCCCTGGCAGAGGGCTCAGCGCCAGGCTCTCAAAGAGAGGTGGAGACAACCCGTGCTTCCGGCCAAGTGGTCAGCTCCACTTCCCTGTTCCCCACAGCACGTGGCACCGCTGCCTGCCGGGGACATCAAAGGCATGGCCAGACCAGGCCCCAGATGCGGGGTTGAGATCTGGGGCTCTGGGCGGAACAGAATGAGGTGAACTCATTCCGCTGCTTCCAGCCCTCCCAACTGCGTGGCCCTGTCCTCCACCTCATTGGGAGCAAAATGGAGAAGATGTTACAATCTACCTAGCAGCGTGGCTCAGGACCAAACAAGCTCCCGTGAGCCACAGGCCTGCCACTCCATAACTATGAGCTCTCTCCATCAATGCTAGCCTTTATTGTTAGCTCCTTCTGGACACCAGGCCCAGGGGGCCCATTTGGGCAGGTGGCTCTGTTCTTAGCCTTGACCCAAAGCCACAGGGTGATGAACCCAGCCTCGTGGGTTAAAAAACACACAGTGACTTCAAACAAAGAGTAGTAAAGTGTGTTGGGATTACAGACCTGCTGTGCATTCTCTCCCTGCCCTCCTCAAAGGGAAGAAGAAAGCAGCGTAGAGGAGGAAATCCATTGCAGAGAGATCTCAGGGCCTACCTGGCTCCAATGCTGCCACTTACAGACACTGTGTCCTTGGGAAAGTCAAGCAACCTCTCTAAGACTCAGTTTCTCCATCTGTAAGGTGGGATAAAAGTACCCACCTGCAGGATCGATATGGGAATTAAATGAACGGATGCATGAAGAATGCCTGGCGCATACAGGCGTAAACATGGGTTGTCTTTCAACAAACAAGCTCTCAATTACCTGCCTATCTCAAGGGTTGAAGCAGCAGAGGCAACCAGAAATACTGGGTAACCTAAAGATCAGTTACTTTTATCTTTGGCTTTTCTGGTATTATTGAAGGTGGGGGGAGGGCAGCAGACTCACCTCCTCGATTCTCCTTTGTTTGGCCTGATATCAAAATGAAAATCTCTCCAAAGCTCCACGAGCCACAGATACCAGGCTAGAGCAGCAGCAAGCTTCGGGGATAAGAAAAAGATACCAAGAAACTTTAAAGCTTTGCAGGGGCAGGGGTGATCCGCAGGGCACAATGCCCCTGGCGAGCCAGGCCTGGCAGGGTCTCTTTGCCGGTTCCCAGATGTCTCAGGGCCCCCTGACTTCAGGCTTCACCACTTCCCGTGCTCTGCCACAGCCCTGCAGACTTCAGGCTCACCTGACACCAGAGCCAGGCTGATCTCCCAACAGCTATGCCTCTGAGCCTTTGCACATGCTGTTCCTTCTATCCAGACACTTCCCCTCTCCCCACCCCATTCTCCCGCTATTCGCGGCACACGCCTCCATGGCAGATAAGTGTGCCCATGTCCATCTCCCATCCAGAGCTCTCAGATCGTACGAGAGCTGCAGCTTATCCATCCAACAGTCTGACTCTATGTCTCACGCTGTCCCTGAGCCCATAGGGATGGGTCACGCCTGCTATTGTCTAAGCCAGGCGCAAACAGCTCTAGCCACCCGTGTCCTGGACATCACATCCTCACCAGCCCTGAGCTGTTTGACTTGTCCACAGTCTTCGGGCACCACCGCCACTTTGCCTCCCAAATGCCTGGTCACCTTGAGTGTGGTTATTCAATCAATGGCAAAGCAGGCCCTCAATTAACTGGGTCTTATCCTCATCCCATCCCCCCTCTCTCTGGACGCACTCTAATGTAACAACTCGGTTTCTAGAGTGGGGAGCTCATTTGAGGGCAATTTATGACCCCCTACAACCACAGGAGGCCCAGCCCAGCAGCTGCCCCTCCCACTTTGTACCCATGAGGGCCCTAAACTAGCCCTAGGGAGGTGTCACACCAGAATGCAAGCCCCAGGGAAGGGCTGTGCCCAAGTTGCTCCCTGCTGGATCCCCTTGGTGTGCTGGTAAATATTTAACAATTGGCTCTCAGCCGGGAAAATACCTCCGACTTGCAGTATACCAATTTCTGTGGTATAAATACTCTCCCTGTGGCCAGTTTCAAGCTACTAAGGTGACATCAGTAAACACAGAGCTGGGAAAGGATGTGCAAGAGCACATCCGTGTGCACGTTATATACATATATACACAAAGATACGAACATATATATGCATACGCATACATATGTATATATATGCATGTAATATATCCACATACAAAAGACACTACCACAAAAACAGGCAATGGTAAAATACAGTGAAATAACTAGAAAGGACTACATTTTGAGTATATGTCACCCTTGTCTTTAGCATAATTTATTTAATTATAAGCTTATATAGTAAAAACTTTTATAATGGCTGTTTAACGGCCAGCTCACAAAATTCCTACAGTTGAGCAATCAGCTCTCGTGCTTCAGTACAAACGGGCTCCAGGATACCAGGGCTCAGGGCCCTGCACGGGCTCTGCAAGGATAGGTCACTCTGGGAAACAGGACCCCATAGGAAGGTGGCTTTGATGCCCTCCACCAAGGCAAAGAAACTGAGCTGGGGCCCCGTAGGCACAGTGGGATGGAAAGAGAACGCTGGCCCACTCCGCCCCCGTTTATGACTCTCATTCTCGTTTCTGGACTTCAGACCCCTTGAGGATAAGGACAGTGGCTTGCTCACCGCTGTCAAGCTAGGTGACAAGAATACGAAGGCACTGGGCGCCTGGGTGGCTCAGATGGTTAAGCATCTGCCTTCGGCTCAGGTCATGATCCCAGGGTCCTGGGATCGAGTCCCGCATCGGGCTCCCTGCTCAGCGGGGAGTCTGCTTCTCCC